GTCCAGCCCAGTCTGTGACAGGAGATAAGTGCCCCAGCCAAAGCCCTGCATCCTGACGATGACTGTGCAAAAGGGAATGGCTGGCTTCAAACACACTCTCGCCGTTTATCTCCAAGACAGAAATGTGCACACGCTTATTCTCGTCCCCTCAGCTTTTAGCCTCTGAGAAAGTATCCATTCCTAACTTTAGAACTGGACAGGACCTCTGAAGCTATCCCACACACCTCTGCATCCTCTGGTCCCAAGGATGGGCCCGGCTTCCTACTCTAAGTAGTGGGATGCTGCATAACCCAAAAGATCTATGTGGGTTCCAAACAGCTTACGTTGAAATTTCAAACAAAAGTTTATATACAGGTTCATTTTTATGGAAAACTCTCAGGATATTCACAGAGGGTCCATGGGACCAACCCTGCTCTCAACACTTCGCAATGCAAGGCTCCGCACCAAGTACCACCTACCCAGCCAGACCCTGGACAGCGCTCCCCACCACAGGTCCTGTTAACTGGGAGAACCATTCAGCAAATCACTCTTCACACTCCATAAACCTACACTGCTGTTATTCCCACCCACACATTCCGTCGACCCCTAGTGGATGAGCTGTGCTCCTCCACAGGCTGAGTGTAGGGGCTATGTTGCAGAAACTGAAGAGACATCCCTGCCCTCCTGGGAGACACAATTCAACGATCATATGAATGAGTGACATGCTGTCACCGAGGCCACTGGGCTCCACAGGGAGACACAAGTGCTAGGTCTGGCACAAGTGTTGGGGTGGCCTCCTGAGAGAGTCACATTCCCAGACTATATTCACAGATGTTAGGTCCCGCAGGACAGGGCCAACAGGCTATTCAGCCACACCATAACCCAAGCTTTAATTAAAATAGCAACTGGGGACTGCGCACGGTGGCTCACGCCTATAGTCCTAGCAGTTTGGGAGGCCGAGGTTGGCGGATCACAAGGTCAGGAGTTCAAGACCAGGCTGGCCAACATGCAGAAACCCCATCTCTACTAAAAATACAAAAATTAGCCGGGCATAGTGGCAGGCGCCTGTAATCCCAGCTGCTCAGGAGGCTGAGGCTGGAGAATCGCTTGAGCCTGGGAGACAGAGGCTGCAGTGAACCAAGATCATGCCATTGCACTCCAGCCTGGGTGACAAAGCAAGATTCCGTCTCAAATAAATAAATAAATATAGCAACTGGGGGCCAGGCATGGTGGCTCATGCCTATAAACTCAGCACTTTGGGAGGCTAAGGCGGGTAGATTGCTTGAGTCCTGGAATTCAAGATCAGCCAGGGCAACATGGCAAAATCCCATTTCCACAAAAAAATACAAAAACTAATCAAGAGTGGTGGTACGCGCCTATAGTCCCAGCTACTCGGGAGGCTGAGATGGGAGGATCACCTGAGCCTGGGAGGCAGATGTTGCAGTGAGCCAAGATTGCGTTCCAACCTGCTGGCAACAGAGTGAGACCCTGTCTTAAATAAAAAGAAAAAAAGAAGGAACCAGGAACAATTTCTTTGAAAAATCCCACCCCAATTTCCAACCTCATTAAGTCTCACAGCTTCTGGTCTTTCAGTTCTGTTCTGAAATTTTCCCAGATGTGGCAGTAAGTCACCATCAGGAGAAAGGGGGCTCTGTGTCCTATGTCACCTGATCAGTAATGGAAACTCAATTTCCTCTTCTTAGTGCAGAAGAGTGAGCAGCAGCAGACCAGACCCTCAAGGCCAACCATGGACCTGATGGGATGAGGACAGAGGAGAGGCCACAGCCCAGAGGGGCTCCTGGATGGCTGCAGAGCCATGCCAGTGCCAGACAAGGATGGGGTACAGGGAGAATACTACTGCCTGGACCCCTGCCAGAGAAACATAGCTCCCAGCATCCCTGGGATGAACAGCAGCTTAGGAGCCTTTTTCACCAAAACTCAGATTCCTGTCCTCCTTTAATATCCACTAGGTGGCGCTGGGTTGCCTCAAGTTCTGAGCTACTCTGCAGCCCACAGATCACACAACAGGCAGTCCAAGGTTTTGTCTCCTTTCAACTTTCCAGCACAATTCAAACCTAAGAAATCATAGTCCATTCTTCCTTTAGAAATACAGTCAATGGGTTGGGCACAGTGGCTCACACCTGTAATCTCAACACTTTGGGAGGCCCAGGCGGGCAGATCTACAAGGTCAGGAGTTTGAGACCAGCCTGGCCAATATGGTGAAACCCCGTGTCTACTAAAAATACAAAAATTAGCCAGGCGCGGTGGCGGGCGCCTGTAATTCCAGCTACAACATGGTGAAACCCCGTGTCTACTAAAAATACAAAAATTAGCCAGGCGTGGTGGTGTGCACCTGTAGTCCCAGCTACTCGGGAAGCTGAGGCAGAAGAATGCACTCCAGCCTGGGCGACAGAGGGATATTCCATCTCAAAAAAAAAAGAAATATAGTCAATGGTTTGGCTTTTGTTTATACACATTTTTAAGAGACAGGGTCTCACCATGTTGCTGGGGCTGGAGTACAGTGGCTATTCATTCAGACACCAGCATAGAGCACTACAAGCTCGAAATCCTGGGCTCAAGTGATGGCCTCGACTGTAAGATGGGACTACAGGAACACACCACCACACCAGCTAGGTTTTTATTTTAATTCCAAGTTAGCCTGATTTTTGCTTGTAATCTAATCCTAGTTGAGGCATACACTCAGAATAAGGGAACAATTTCCAAGAAAGAGATTGGATACCAGGCAATTCAAGACCAGAGGGTAGTAATTCTCTCAACACAGAGAAAACATTAGTGTGATAACAATGAATAAAAGACACGGTCAGACTACATGACCACAAAGGTCCCATTCTCCAACACAGAAGGGGCCAGAAAACAAACCAATCACCTGGCAAGGGCTGATGTTCTCTCACACCTGGGGAGGCTCAGTCCCCAGGGTCACCAAGAGACAAACAAATGCTAGTTGTAACTTATATCACAAAAGGCAAATCACTCTCTTATATTTAAGGACTTATATTTCCCAATAGAAGAATGAACAAGGGATCTGAGCAGCGAGTTCACAGATAAGGCAGGCGGTTCAGACATGTGAAGACATGCATCAATGCACTACAGTAGAGCTACACAGAGACACTATTCCCCACCTATTATACTGGTTAAGATCCACAATTTCACGAGACTCGATGTTGGCAAAGCTTGCGGGAAGAGGCATCTCATGTGTTGCTGGTGGGAGTGTAGACAGAGGTACAAACCCCTGAGAAGGAAACCCAACATTACAAATGCCATTTTCCCCATTCATAGTGCCTTTAGGAATTTACCTTATAGATATAGAGGCGCACATACAAAATAACACAGGTAAATGGTTAGCACTGGAAGGCTGGAATAAACTCAATGATGGGGGCAGTTGCAGCTCACTAGGCAACCAAAAAAAGAATTAAAAAGTATTTTTAAAATTTTATTTTTTATTTTACTTAAAAAAATTTTTTTATTATTATTATTATATTTGAGATGAAGTCTAGCTCTGTCACCCAGGTTGGAGTGCAGTGGCTCAATCTCAGTTCACTGCAACCTCCGCCTCCCGGATTCAAGCAATTCTTTTGCCTCAACCTCCTGAGGAGCTGGGACTACAGGCATGCACCACCACGCCTGGCTAATGTTTTGTACTTTTAATAGAGATGGGGTTTCACCATGTTGGCCAGGCTGGTCTTGAACTCCTGACCTCATGATCCGCCCGCCTTGGCCTCCCAAAGCGCTGGGATGACAGGCGTGAGCCGCCGTGCCTGGGCTTTGTTTTTTATTTTTGATATACGGTCTTGCTCTGTTGCCAGGGCCAGAGTACATGGTACAACCACGGCTCACCGTTATCTTGATTTCCCAGGCTTAAGTGACCCTCCCACCTCAGCTTCCTGAGTAGCTGAAACGACACTCGTGCCACCACACTCAGATATTTTTTTAAAATTTTTTGTAGAAATGGAATCTCACACTGTTGCTCAGGCTGATCTTGAACTTCTGACCTCAAGCAGTCCGCCCACCTCAGCCTCCCAAAGTGCTGGGATTACAGGCGTGAGTCATCGCGCCGGCCTGCTTGTCCACATTTAATAAAGGCGATGTTCAGCCAATATAATCAGAACAATTGTGAGGTTTATATGGTATCCTCAAGGCTTGCTGCCCTCACACAATCAGTGTCACAAATCCCAACTCTCTCAGAGCGAGGAAGAGACAGCTGGCTCCAGCTCCACCCACCGAGCCTCAATTTCCTCATGAGTGACTGGAGTCAGTGACACCCACCTAGTGAAGGCGGGCCCAGAACTTGGTGTTGCATCATTCTCAGTAAAATGTCATTTTGCAGTTGTGTGATTTCAAAACACTTTCAGACTCTCATGTATAACTTCAGACTCGTTTTCTGTTTTAAGAGGAGTCTGGAGGTGGTGGTTCCAGCAGACAGAGTGTGTGCTACTCGGCAAAGGGGCTGGCATTTAAAAAACGGCCACCGGCCAGGCATGATGGCGCACACCTGTAATCCCAGCACTTTGGGAGGCTGAGGCAGGCGGATCACACCTGAGGTCGGGAGTTCAAGACCAGCCTGACCAATATGCAGAAACCCTGTCTCTACTAAAAATACAAAATTAGCTGGGTGTGGTGGCACATGCCTGTAATCCCAGCTACTGGAGAGGCTGAGGCAGGAGAATCTCTTGAACCCGGGAGGCAGAGATTGCTGTGAGCTGAGATCACACCATTGCACTCTAGCCTGGGCAACAAGAGCAAAACTCCATCTCGAAAAAAATAAACAGAAATAGAAGGAAAAAATAAATTAAAAAACGGCCACCAAGGTCACTTCTTTCAAGAGCAGCCACATGACTATCCCTTCCCAGTCCTCTCTGGCCCTAACCTCAGGGAACTCTGATGCTCATACCCCAGGAGAATAGTGGTCAGTACCAGAGAGCCCTACCTGTTGACACTGTTCCTCAGGCGCCAGCAGCCTGGCCCCGAAGAAGGATGTTAATAAGCACACCCACCTGTCTTACCTGTCGTAAGCTTCCTTGAGGTCCCTGGCCAGCTTGCACTTGGGCAGGATGTGATGGAATGGGGACTGAGGACCTTCATTTCCTACAAGAATCACAACACAAGATTTACAGCTCCCAAAGCAAGGAAACTTTTTGTTTTTGTTTTTGAGACAGAGTTTCACTCTTTTTTGCCCAGTCTGGAGTACAATGGCACAATCCCGGCTCACTGCAACCTCTGCCTCCCGGGTTCAAGCAATTCTTCTGCCTCAGCCTCCCAAGTAGCTGGGACTACAGGCGCCTGCCACCACACCCAGCTAATTTTCTATTTTTTACTAGAGATGGGGTTTCACTATGTTGTCCAGGCTGGTCTCGAACTCCTGACCTCAGGTGATCCGCCCACCTCGGCCTCCTAAGATGCTAGGATTACAGGCATGAGCCACCACGCCCGGCCTTTTTTTTGAGACAGGGTCTCACTCTGTCACCTGAGCTGGTGTGCAATGGTGTGATCATAGCTAACTTCTGTCTCAACTTTCCAGGCTCAAGCGATACTCCCACCTAGTTGGGACCACACACATGCACCACTAGACCTGCTAATTTTTTTTTTTTTTCTTTTTTTTTGAGATGGAGTTTCACTCTTGTTGCCCGGGATAGATTGCAATGGTGTGATCTCAGCTCACTGCAACCTCTGCCTCCTGGGTTCAAGCAATTCTCCTGCCTCAGCCTCCCAAGTAGCTGGGATTACAGGTGCCCACCACCATGCCTGGTTAATTTTTTTGTATTTTTAGTAGAGACAGGTATTCACCATGGCCAGGCTGGTCTCGAACTCCTGTCCTCAAGTGATCCACCCACCTGGGCCTCCCAAACTGCTGGGATTATAAGCATGAGCCACCACACCTGCCCTAGACCTGCTGATTTTTAAATTTTTTGTAGAGATGGAGTCTCACTATGTGGCCCAGGCTGGTCTCAAACTCCTGGGCTCAAGTGATCCTCCCATCTCGTCCTCCCAAAGTGCTGGGATTACAGATGTGAGCTACCACGTCTAGCCAAAAAGTCTTTTATTCATCCTTTTTCATAAATTTCTAACAAAATATATGCAGACTTAAAATTTTTCTTACTTCCTGTGATAAAGTCACAGACTCTAAAAAGACAATGTTTAAAAAAACAAAACTTTTGGATCGTTATTATGATAATTATAATTAGTACACAATTGGCCAAAACAGAAACATATTATAAATTTTGACAGATAATTGTCAAACATAAAAAGTTTTTCTTTTGTTTTTTTTGTTTTTTGAGACAGGGTCTCACTCTGTCACCCTTGCTAGAATGCAGTGGTGCAATCTCAGCTCACTGCAACCTCCGCCTCCCAGGGCTCAGGTGATTCTCCCACCTCAGCATACCGAGTAGCTAGAACTATGGGCACACATGACTGTGCCCGGCTAATTTTTGGTAGAGGCAGGATTTCACCATGTTCCCCACACTGATCCTGAATTCCTGAGCTCAAGCAATGTACCCGCCTCAGCCTCCCTAAGTGCTGGGATTACAGGCATGAGCCACCACACCCAGCCACAAGTAAATTTTTACTGAAAATGCACCTGAGTCAGAGAGGCTGTTCTTTTATTATTTATTCATGTCAATAGCTACTTTTACTTATTGCTACAACAACTAGGTCTGACTTTAGTTTTGTCCTAATTCTCTCTTTTTTATAGATGTGCTTGGCAAAGAAAATGGAGATGGAGAGTTTGTTACAGACGTCCCTCTGTTTTGAAATCTTTACAGTAGGCCAAAAACCACTCAATGTTCTATCTGCAAACATTATTTTTAATAATTGGTTAGTTGATAGCCCAGTTAGGTCCTCCTTCAATCTGGCTGAAAGCAAAGAACTGGAAACTGTCCACCTCACCAGCTGGGTATTTCCAACGCCCTCTCCTGCCCCGGGGAGTAAATACTTTCTTCAACATGTCCCACAGGGCCAGGGCTAGGCAGAGCTGCCTAACCTATGTGAACAGTGATCATGCAGCAGTGTGTGGAAAGAAAGAACATTTCTGGTTGGGAAATCTACTTCAGTACATCCATCCAGGAAAGTTCATCTACAAATGCGCCCCTTGGGAGTCTTCCTGTGCCCCTACAGGCACAACTGGTCCAGTGTGAAGATCATGTAACTTCTCTTAGCCTTAGTTTCCACATCTGCAAAATGGGGATGATCATGGACCCTGCCTTGCAAAGCTATTGTGAGGACTTCATTTTCAATGCCCAGCTCACCAAAAGCTGATGCTTGCAAGCTTCTGACTGCTCTGCTGGTGTTGGGGTGGGTGAGGCCCCACCAACATGTGCACCATTAACACTGAATGACAGCCCCTCCACAGAGGTCTGCACTGCAGAGAGGCCACCAGCCAGCCCAGACACACGCCCATCACGCCCTGCTGCACTCACCATCAGCCATGGCGGACACCTCATCCTGGAGCGCCAGGATCAGCTTGGCCTCCCGGGTGAGGTACTGGCAGCGGCGCTCCTCGTGCTGCAGCACAGTGGCAATGCGACGGGACAGGTTATGCAGACAGTTTATTACTGACGGGTCTGCGTTGGCCTGCGGGAGAGAGACCATGCACAGACTCAAACGTATGCACAGGGACACAGCTGGACAGTTTAAATGGAGCTAATACGTGTACACAGCAAAATCTCAAACCATGAAAGAAAGTGTCTCTACTCCTTTCCCCCAGGCTCCTTTGCAGAGGCCATTGCTGCTCATTTCCTGAGTCCCCTCCAGGGCCCATCCACAGAAATGCTGGCTGTCAGCTCCCATGCTCTATTCCTGGGAGTGGCTGCCTGAATAGTAGCAGAGATGGCTCTGGAAATGTTGCTCTTAAGAACGAACAATGGTGCCTCCCTCACAAAGGACTGAATGGAAGAAATTAGTGAGCCATGTCACAAACTAGGAATAGAGCCTGCCCTGAGCAAAGACCCTGGTAGTGTCTGTGGTCACCACTGTACTGCTGACTACTGGTAGGCAGAACTAGTCTACAACATGTAAGAATTCAGTCACAACAGGCCACATTACTACAGGGACGCACGGTACAAAAACAGAGGTGCCTGGCCAATTGTTCACTGAATACTTTTGGTCCTCAAGGATGCGAAGCTCTTCCCAGCAGAAGTGACACTGGTTAACAAGAAAACCAGCAGGCTCCAGGCCCACATCTCTGCCCCAGCACTCCTTCTGCAACCATGTTGACTGGGTCAAAGGACAGTGCAGGAGGCTCTCAGGAACAAGAGGGGCCCCCGCCCCTCTGGAACCTATCAGGCACCACAGTCAGCCAGGCAAGCACATCTGCCCAAGCCAAGGGCGGAGGCATGCAGCTGTGGGGATCTGTGAAAACATCTGAGGGAGCAGATAACTGGGCCAACCATGACTCAGTGCTTCTGGAGGCCAACAGGACTGCTGAATCATCCTGTGGGGGTGAAGATGGGACAAGGGAAAGGGGTGAATGGTACTGCTGATTACAACCTCTGGTGCTGCCTCCCCCTCCTGTTTATCTGAGAGGGAAGGCCATGCCCAAAGTGTTCACAGCCAGGCTTCAGGGGCAAAGCCTGACCCAGACAGTAAATACTTTCTTCACGTGGAGCTGAAGAAATTCTCTATACTCTCATCAGATCCCATGTTCACAAACAGAACTCACACCTGGGTGGACTTACAACAAGCCAGCATCCCTTGCCAGAGAAAAGACCGACTGGTGCTCCCATGCCATGCCCACCACTGGGCAGCAAGCCTACTCCTCCATGTCAAGGGCATCCCCTCAACAGTGTCCCTGCAACCAAAGGGCTGACATATGGGGTATATACAATTGCCTCAAAACAAAACACCCATTTAGAAGAAGAATCTGTGTACAAATACTTCTATGAGCAAAGCAAGGAGGAGGAGAATGATCCTGGATATGTGATTATTCAGCTGAGGCACAACACCGTCCATGAGTTGGATGTCCAGGGCCCATATGCTTGACCTTTCCAGACATACAAGGGGATGCAGTCCCCAGTGACGCCCAATGACCTGCACTCCGTGCAAACCCAGCACGTCCGTTTGCAAAGGTCTGACACTGAGTGAGGGACATGCTGAGAAAGGTAACACCTAGGGTGTGCCAGCACTAATAGGAACTCTTAGAGACATCGTATTTTCACTATACACAACGTAAAGAGGCATGAAGTTTAAGGCGTCATCCATGAGACCTTCTCACCCCCAAAACTTGTACCCAAAGAGAACCAAGCCTTCAGAGTTAACTTCTAGTTTACAGGAAACACAGGGACAGAGAGCAAGTCTGACTGCACAATGAGATGAATCCAAATGTGGAACATTTGATGGAACAAAGGAAGGGGAGACCTCTGGATTGGCAGAGACATAAAGACACCATGTGCACTAGCTGCACCGGGTTTGCATCCTGGTTCAGACAGTCCAGCTGCGAAAATGCTTTAGCAATCAGGAAAAGCTTCAGCAGAGCAGGTACTAGGTGATGCCAACTTAATACAGTAAATTTTTTCAGATGTACAAAGGGTATCATGGCCAAAAATTAAGTGCCCATATTTTACACAGATACCTTCGGAAGTATGTAGGGATGAACAGACATAAGGTCTGGTACTTGCCTTGAAATAGAGAGAGGGAAGGAAATATATGGAACCAGGGTATAAAGGCACCTGAGACAGGCATATAAGGTTTATCAGTCTGCTTTCTCTAGTTAAGGGTTTAAAATTTTTCAAAGTAAAAAAAAAAAAAAAGGATACATATATATTTTTTAAGATAGGGTCTCACTCTGTTGCCCAAGCTGGGGTGCAGTGGCATGATCACTGCTCACTGCCACTTTGACCTTCCAGGCTCAGGTGATCCTCCCACTTCAGCCTCAAAAATAGCTGGGACTACAGGCGCGCATCAACATGCCTGGCTAATTTTTGTATTTTTTGTAGAGACGGGATTTTGCTATGTTGCCCAGGCTGGTCTCAAACTCCTGGGCTCAAGTGATCCACCTACCTTGGCCTCCCGAAGTGCTAGGATTACAGGAGTGAGCCACCGTGCCTGGCCAAAAGTGTATATTTTAAAAAGAAAGACTTGTCCACCCAAAAAATACAAACTCTTACATTATCCAAATTTCTCCCACTTGTCAATATCACCGCCAGCTGAAGCCCTAGACTATCTTGTTTCCTGTTGCTTTTTTTTTTTTTTTTTGAGATGGAGTTTCGCTCTTGTCACCCAGACTGGAGTGCAATGGCGCGATCTTGGCTCACTGCAACCTCTGCCTCCCGGGTTCAGGCGATTCTACTGCCTCAGCCACCCGAGTAGCTGGGATTACAGGCATCCACCACCACACCTGGCTAATTTCATATTTTTTAGTAAAGACGGGGTATCTCCATGCCGGTCAGGCTGGTCTCAAACTTCTGACCTCAGGTGATCCACCCACTTCGGCCTCCCAAAGTGCTGGGATTACAGGCGTAAGCCATTGTGCTCAGCTCCCGTTGCTTTTACCTGTCCATAATCAATACATACTTCTCCAGGTTCTGGTCTGATCTCCATTTCTCATCCTCAATGGCAAGAGAATGGGCCAGTGTATAATAATTACCACATTGTTTAATCATTCCCCAAGTACTAGACACCACGATTATCTCCAGTTTAATTACTGTTATAAAAATCTTTATTCTTGCTGAGAACAAGCCAGGGGGAAATCTTTATGCAGTTGTAAAAGTTGCTTGTTTTCTTGATAATACTCCTAACAGTGGGATTGCTAGATCTAAGGGCATCATATGCTCTGCTGTCACTGTTCCCCAGAGCTGAGGGCCTGCCTGCAGCATGCTGGGTGGGGCTGTGGCTGCTTCTCATCGACTGTCCCACAGGGGTTATCGGTGTTGACAGGTGGACATTTGTCATGGATTTTGTTTATTCATTTGCTTGTTTTTTGACTTACTTCATTTTTCTTTGTGACTCTTTATATTATGTAATTATGTAAGAAATACAAAGATACTATAAAAATGCAAATACTACAAAAGTGTATCAAGTAGAAAGTGAAGAACTTCTCCCAGAACCCTATACCCCAGAAGCAATTAACAAATCATTTTGTTTTAATTTGTAGCTCCTTATTTACCAACAAGGCAGGCCTGTCTTAAAAATTAAGCTCCAGCTGGGCGTGGTGGCTCACACCTGGAATCTCAGCACTTTGGGTGGCCAAGGAGGGAAGATCATTTGAGCCCAGGAGTTCAAGATCAGCCTGGGCAATAAGGTGAAAACTCATCTCTACAAAAAATACAAAAATTAGCAGGGGCCGCGCGCAGTGGGTCACGCCGGTAATCCCAACAGTCTGGGAGGCCAAAGTGGGAGGATCACCTGAGGTCAGGAGTTCAAGACCAGCCTGGCCAACATGGCGAGACCCCGTCTCTACTAAAAATACAAAAATTAGCTGGGCATGGTGGCGTATGTCTGTAATCCCAGCTACTCAGGAGGCTGAGGCATCAGAGTCATTTGAGCCTGGGAGGCGGGGGTTGCACTGAGCCAAGATTGTGCTACCACACTCCAGCCTGGGTGACACAGTGAGATTCTGTCTCAAAAGAAAAAAAAAAAAAGAGAATAACTGCTAATGGGTACGGGGTTTCCTTCTGGGGTGGTTAAAGTGTTCTAGATCTAAATAGTGGTGATGGTTATACAACATGAATGTACCAGATGCCACTGAAGCATAGCCTTCAAAATGACAAATAGTGTTATGTGTATTTTACCAAAACAAAAAGTGGTAAACAATGAAGTGCAGTCTGCCTGCACCCCAAGAGGGGCCAGCACCATGCCCACTGCAGTCCAAGCTCCGAGTCAATGACACGCTCGTAGGAAGAAAGAGCTGCTTCTCCCCAGCCCCACTCCCTGATCTTAACCATTTATATAAACACTCACCCTCAGTGCAAACACCACATTAAAAAGAATCATAGTAGGTGCTTCCCTCTTCGGGGAAGGATCTGTTTTGGAGACCTGTAAAAGATGCATAATTCTAATTAATTGAGACGACTTTCTAAGGAAAGAAGCTGTTTAGAGCTATTCTACTTCAGGCATAGGAAAAGTCCCCAGAATATGGCACCAAGGTCTTGGAAAAGCAATGAATGCCTTTGTTCTAGAGGCGTGCCTACTGCATGGACAGTCACAACTATGACAAGAGTGAGAAGGTCAGTGCTCTGACCCCTCCACCCCTACAACCGCTAACAGAAGTGAGCTGACAATGCCCACAGGGGACGGGGATGGGATGGAGAGGGGCATAAATGGGTGGATGACCCAGACCACACCCCCACTGCTGTCCCGTGTCCACCTGCGTCCACCCAGGCTGTATCTGCTAAGTATGACGCATACTGAGAACAATTTAGGGACAAGACAATGTTCAGGGACAGCCAAGCCCTGAGCAGGGCCCAGGTGAGGCAGGCCAGCAAGTCCTAATCTCTGTACTCCCGGTTCTGGCATCTAGCCAGCTTCACAAGGACCAGGGCACTCAAGTGAAGCATTCCAAGGGGCACAAGGGAACTCTTCAAAGCCAACTACAAGTTCTGCCACAAGGGGGAGCTGGGGCCCCAGGCGGCCCTTGCACTCATCCCCTACCCCTGACTGCAACTCCTGCCTACAGGGTGTGACCGCAGGCAGGCTGCCAACTCTCCCCTCCATTGCCTCCAGGTAGGGGACTGTGCCCCAGCTGTGGGGGCTGTGATGAGAAGGGAGGGTGAGGTCCAGGGGGCCAGGCACATCAATGGCCTCAGAAACTCCTTCCATGGAGGTTCACGAATAATACCACAGAACCTCACACAATTGCTGGATCTGCATAAATGTAGCTAAATCCTATGTCATGTGTTCTACCCTTCAGAATCGGAGTAATGCCATCACTGATCCTGCCTATATGCAGAGAGCTGACTGGCAGGCTCTGGTGTGCAAGTTCCCTTCATCCTGCAAGCAAGATGAATTCCTCAGTGCTATGACACTGATTCATCAGAGAACACATAGAGAGGGTTTAGCAGAAAAATAAGTGCCAAATAATACTAATATTAGCTACTAGAGTGTCTTGTAATAAATAAGAGGAAATGCTTGCACCACATTGTAGAAAATTCAAGGGTCTGACAGATGCTAGTTAACTCATCTTGGCCTCCCCTGGAAACAGACATTCTATATATAAAGGGCAGGACCACAGTCAGTAGAGACCTAGAATGCAGACTGCAAAAGCTAGGGGCAGGGACTGAAGCACCTGTCTTCAGGGGCAAGAACACCTGTCTCTTTTTCCACTGGACTCTCAGGGTTTATGAAGATGCACAATTCATAGCAAGTGTCTAATCAGGTCTCCTGCCCAACAGTTACTTTCACCAGAGCTGGTGTCAGCCTCAGTTCTGAGCCCCCCAGAGCCAGAATGGACCAGGCCTGCCAGCCCAGGGAGAGCCACATCTACCTAGAGGATCTTTGCGTGCCCAGGGAGAACCCAACCTGCCCAAGGAGAGTCCTATCTGCCCGGGGAGAGCCACACCTGCCCAGGGAGAGCCATACCTGCCCCAGAGCATGCTGCAGCAGTGTTGGGTGCCCAACAAACCGCACATTATCAATCTTCAGTTCAAATTTTTGGCCACACATTTCAGACTTGGTTGCCAAAATTGTTGCCAGAATAACATCTGAAAACCTTAAAATTTAAAAAAGGTAGAATAAAAATAAGTTAACAATGTACCACAGCACCATGCCCTGCTGGCCCCAGAGCAGAAGGGTCTCAGTAAACTGCACCTTCATGGAGTTGCTCTGCCGCGACTGCTGATGAAAGCTACTAACAGTTGCCCTTCTGTAGCAATCCCAGAGGTTACGGATGTAAGATCACCAGAATTACAAGATAAAAGGCATGAGAAGCACAGACTGAAGGCACATGCTGTCATTTTTTGGCATGCTCTATTAAATTGAGGAGAGAAGCAGTTGCAGTTTGCTTTCAAAGGGAGGATCAGCTGGAGCCGCACTGCCCTGAGGAGCTGCTCTTTAAGGTTCACAGGCAGAGGGGGCCTCTCCCAATTATACTCAGGTTTGCTGGGCTGCACCTTCAACTCCCAGGACCCTGGCCCTTCACCCACAGAACCGCATGGAGGGCAAGGGGACGGTGCACAGGGAGGCGTGCAGAGCGCTGACTTCCTTCCTTATAGCGTGGCTGCCCAGCCATTCTCTTATCCCCAACACTTAAACTTCCCAGTTTTTATCATGGAAGAAACTTTGTGTAAGATGTGCAAGCCCACCGTGATCACAGCTATTTCCAAATGGCAGAAATACAGGGTTGTACAGGACTGGGTGCCATGGAAAAGTGGGAACAGCTGTGGTGTGGGAGGGAGGGCATCCCTTTTCAAGATCATCTGTGCCCTTATGTCTCCTTACTGGCAATGCTGATGTCTCCTGCCTGGGGGGATCCGGATAAGGGAGCATCACCGGCAGGAGTGCTGTGGGTGGCGCTGACTCTTATCTTAGAACCCAGGGCTCTGAAAGCTCTAGAAACACAAATGTACTACCTCTGATCTGGACCCAGAAGGGAGAGAAGTCCCATGCATATCTCTCCACCCAGGAAAAATATTTCTAATATCTAGGTCAGGAGGATACACTATCTTGGGGAAGGCAGCTCTAGCCTCCCCGGGGCCATATTCTGCCCCTGGACAGGGAGACCCCCTAAGGTCCTAGAAGAGACCATTGAGGACAGACATTTTAGTGTGATCCCTAGTCATGCTTCTTCCCCGGAGGCCCTCTTGGCGAAGGGGTGGGAGAGACTAACATAACTCCTCCATATTGTGATAAAAAAGGAAGGTCTGCTTTGAACTGCACTGTAGCTCAGCTCTGTAATAGCAAATGGCAAGTAGCTACAGGATTCTTTGCACGTCTACCATGGGCTGTGGGGCTCATGCTGTTTTCCAGCCTTCCTCCTGCACTGGCACGACCCTCTAACCATCTGAAGTCACCCCAAACAAGCCCACAAACAAACCACATACGAGGGTTTGGTCAAACCTATTTGTGCCGTTTGGAAACAGCCTCTCAACTCACTCAAGTTGCAGTTGGACCTTCTGAAATCAATCTCGTTAGAGATATCCTGGGAAATGCAGGACCCACAGCCAAGTCCTCAGCAACCCACTGCAGGTCTCTCCTGCAGAGATGGAGGATGCAAGTGCCTTACACCACAGGCATAACATGCTTTCTTCAAAAACCCTAAATGGCTCACTCTGTCCTATAACTCCCATGTGTGGGACATGGTAATGTTGAAGGAGGGGTTGAGGTATTAAACCACCACCAAACACCTCAGCTCTAGCAACTGACCCAGGGCCAACACCTCACCTCCTATCTAAACAGTGCCCCTCCACTCTGCCACCAAGTGACTCAGGGGACACAGAGATAACAGAAAAATAACCACCACCACTTCAGAAAGGTCCCTTGCTCTGACAGCCCAAAATCTCCACTAAAAACTGCTGCTCTGTCATAAAGAGTCACAGCCATGTCTCAGCCTCAGTCCTCAAGCACCAGTCCAGGGACCAAATTTAGTTTGGCTGTAAGATGGTTCCTGGGATTTTCAGAGGCAAGCAGTGGTAGCCCAATTCACATTTATAAATACCTAAACTTCAAGGCGCCCTCACAACAGCCAAATAAAAGGCTCTTTCCCTGCTAGAGGCCAGGGTCTGCAGAGACAGCCAACTGGAAATCTGTGAGCTGAAGTAAAAAGTCACATTGGGCTGGGCACGGTAGTTCACGCCTGTAATCCCAGCACTTTGGGAGGCTGACGCAGGTGTATCACCTGAAGTCAGGAGTTCGAGACCAGCCTGACCAACATGGTGAAACCCCGTCTCTACTAAAAATACAAAAATTAGCCGGGTGCAGTGGTACACGCCTGTAGTCCCAGCTAGTTGGGAGGCTGAGGCAGGAGAATCGCTTGAACCTGGACAGCGGAGTTTGAAGTGAGCAGAGATGGTGCCACTGCACTCCAGCCTGGGTGACAGAGCAAAACTTGTCTCAAAAACAAAAAAAAATCACACTGACTTAGTGGCTGTTCACGGAGCCCTCTGAGGCAGCCAGCAGGGTGGTAGTTAGCCACTCTGTTTATCTGAGCAAATCTGGCCGACAGAGAAATCTATTCCTCACACCTTAATATTACACACATATAATGACAGAACACTTTTTTTTTTTTTTTTTTGAGACAAAGTCTTGCTCTTGTCCCCCAGGCTGGAGTGCAATGGTATAATCTCAGCTCACTGCAACCTCCGCCTCCCGGGTTCAAGCGATTCTCCTGCCTCAGCCTCCTGAGTAGCTGGGATTACAGGCACGCCCGGCTAATTTTTGTATTTTTAGTAGAGACGGGGTTTCACCATGTTGGTCAGGCTGGTCTCGAACTCCTGACCTCAGGTGATCTGCCTGTCTTGGCCTCCCAAAGTGCTGGGATTACAGGCGTGAGCCACCGCGCCCAGCCCTATGACAAAACACTTGAGTGGCTTTTTTTTTTTTTTCCCTGGAGACGGAGTCTTGCTCTGTCACCCAGGCTGGAGTGTAGTGGCGCAATCTCGGCTCACTGAAGCCTCCGCCTCCTGGGTTCAAGCGATCCTCCTGCCTCAGCCTCCCAAATAGCTGGGATTACAGGCACGCGCCACCACGCCCAGCTAATTTTTCGTATTTTTTAGTAGAGACGGGATTTCACCACATTGGCCAGGCTGGTCTTGACCTCCTGACCTCGTGATCTGCCCGCCTCGGCCTCCCAAAGTGCTGGGATTACAGGCGTGAGCCACTGCGCCCATCTGGCTTTATACTTTATATAGTGGGTCTGGTAAAGTAATATGCATAAAGACAGAGTTATATTCATATTAGGGGTGGGGCAAAACTTACGAACAGCAAACCGAACCATAAACAAAGTGTCTTTTTGTTTTATTGGCTTCCAACATTTATAAAAATCCTTTTCCCTCATTTTGATGGTGAAAGGCCTAATAAACGTACTGCAACACAATAAAACATCTGTTACAAAAACTGAAGATTCCTGGAATAACTTGGATATTCAAGAGAAACACGTTTAGGAAGATGAACCAACCCAGCCAGAAAACAGGCCAGACCTTCTATCACTGCCAAGCTATTCTGGAGCAGGGCTTGCTCTCTAGCTTGGGCAAAAAAAGGGATGGAAGGACATCCTGGAAAGGAGCTCAACTCTGCTCCCCCTACCCACCTTGCTAGAAGCTCACAGATGCTGTGTGTACCTCCAAGGCCCAGAGGACAGGCACTGTCAAGAGGAATGGAAGAGTCGCACTTCATCCACGCCCTCCGGACAAGCAACATATCAATTCTATGAGAACATTTCTGCCTCTATTAAGCACACTCAATAGCATCTAGGCCTGAGCATCACACTTACTACCTAACCCTTGGGAGAGGCCCCCACAAAACCCCTCAGAAATATAAAAACAAGGAGCAACAGTCACAGGTCTCTCTAGGGTGGCAGCTGCTTGCCCACCACCCTCACAGGACTACTTGTGCCTACCTGGAGGAAGAGGAGGTTTGTGTGACATGCCTGGTCCCAGAAGTCTCCCTGGGGCCGGCCAGCCATGCCTTGGCCTCTCAGGTAATGTGAAATAGCTAAATGACTGGGTGGAGAAAAAGCGGGGGTGGTGGAAAGTCTGGGCATTCGTGGGGGAACTGGGGCAGGGAGGTCCACGCCTGTGTGCCTCATCAGTCACTCTCAACATTGAGGGAAACCAGGAATTAAGCACAATTAAAGAAGAGAAGGCAGCGGAATCAAGACAGAAAGACGGTGGAGAGGTCTCGGTCTTACCCTGCAACCAATTGCTCATCGGTTGGAGGACATGGCTCGCTGAAATGGGAACAGGACCATCAAGACCAAACAAAAACATATCGCTTTTTTAAAAACCATGAAAACTTACAAGCCTATTTTATAAAAAAGTGTACTAAAGTCTAGCAGAAGTGCCACTATTAAGCATTACCATTGAGCATCATGACTAAGCAATTTACCAGACAAGAAACAGGGTCACACACACCCCAGGCTGAGAAACAGGATCACACACTCCCCACGCTGAGAAACAGGGTCACACACTCCCCACGCTGAGAAACAGGGTCACACACTCCCCACGCTGAGAAACAGGGTCACACACTTACCATGGGGTTTTCTCACTAAAGGTCAAACTCTCACACAGAAGTACGGGCTGGGCAGGAATGAAAGTCGTTTTTCAGAAGTAAGCACAAGGCTGGAAAAGCTGGGTCAGACCCAGCGCCATATGTATTAGCTGGATGCCTGTGCACAAGTATCTCATCTTCTCTCTTTTTTTTTTCCTTTTTTCTTTTTTGTCTTCAAAAGAGATGGGGCCGGGCGCGGTGGCTCACGCCTGTAATTCCAGCACTTTGGGAGGCCGAGGCGGGCGGATCACGAGGTCAGGAGATCCAGACCATCCTGGCTAACACGGTAAAACCCTGTCTCTACTAAAAATACAAAAAATTAGCCAGGCGTGGTGGCGGGCGCCTGTAGTCCCAGCTACTTGGGAGGCTGAGGCAGGAGAATGGCATGAACCTGGGAGGCGAAGCTTGCAGTGAGCCGAGATGGCACCACTATACTCCAGCCTGGGTGACAGAGCGAGACTCCTTCTCAAAAAAAAAAAAAAAAAAAGAGAGACGGGGTCTCGCAAT